TCCAGATTGCAATCACACTGTGGATTGGACTTTTTCTTCAAACAGTGAAGGAGACGCTCCTGTCCTGTCCAAATCCAGGTTAACCTCGACCATTCTTGGCAAGCCATGTTCATGCCAGGGGTTCTGTGGTCAGGTTGCACATAACGTGTTTGTTGTGGGCGGCAGTAGCGTCCCCTTCTGCTAGCCATTATTCTTCGAAACTCAGTCATAATGTAGTTTCTCATTCCCATAATGAATGTTGTAACTTCAAGCGTTGTATTGGCGCTGTTGGGGACAGAATAGATGGAAGATGACGATTTGCATCAGTGATCCGGAAAACGCGAGTTTCCCACACGGAGGTGAGGGGGTTCAAAATGCGCCAGAATCGGTAACCACTGTATTTGGATTGGCTTAAAGGTTTCCGTAAATATTCGCACTGTTTCAGTGAGTGACTTGATAGCGATGAAAATTACTGAGATCCAGAAAAGTTGATGTCGATAAACCTGCAAATTTCATGCGGTTACATGGCGGAAAATACAGAGTTTCAGACAGAATACCCAACAGTTCTTTGAATATAAGCAGTTTGATTAAGTGTTCATGCAGCTTAAGGCCGAAAATGGGATGTAGCCTTGACCTGAAAGCGGAAACCATGGAAATGATGGGCAATTCATCGTTAAATGTGGTCATTTAAAGAGCGTTAAATCTTACCTGTGCCTTTGCCAATCTGGCGTACCTCATTCCTCGATGCAACAATGAATGTAGAACTGGTTCTGTCAATCGCTTGTTTCCGAAGTCAGCCCACTTCCAAAGACTTTCGTCCTGACTATAAAGAATGAAAAGTTTAGTACATCGTTTCAAACATTATAATACAGGCATAGAAGGTATTATGTTGTACGTGCTACGCTGTAACATCGTCAGTACTGTCTATAAATTATGATATCCAATTAAAATCTAAACTCACTTTGATGCCTTCCCCTTGAACAGAACTGACAGCTGCTCAGAGATAGTACTAGTCTGATCGTATAACTAAATTCCTCCTGGTCAACAGCAATTCTCCCTTAAGCAGATGATGTATTTGGCATCGACCATTTAAGAATTTCAATATCAACAACTTTTCAAACAGTGAGGATTAATTACATCTCAATAAGTGGTGGAACCATGTTCCTCTTCTGTCTGTGAACAGCTTTGGTATTCATAACGTCAGTTAATAAGAGAACGTTCATTTCAAATATTATCTCATCTGCTCAGCAGCATTCTATTAACTGCGGTAATATTATCTTGGTCATCTAACCAGCATCAGGTTCAAAGTAATGCCCAAAAGTTTTCTATATGTCTGTCGTAACAGTACATTTTCACCTAACCTGGCCGTTCTCTTACCTTAAGCCTAAAAATTCGCTTAGGGATACGACGTCTCTAAGATGTTTGAGAATCTTGTGTGCATATACGGCCACCGCTTCATTCGAGTAACGAAAGATGACAGGTTTCAATTATATTATGCTAATCGTTAACCAGTTTCGTGATGCGGTTACTCTGTGGTACGCATATTCGAAACTTCCAATAGAGAGATGCCCGCCGAGCATGCTGATAAGTGCATAACCTACCAAACCAGATTTCTCGATCTAAAGCATCGTAATGCTGTACACTAATTAACATACTCCTCACAAGTGAAACCAAAATTTTGTTTATGTGTAATACAATATAGCATAGAAATACATCATTCACAATGAGACAGATTGTTCTAGCAAATAAAATGCGAGACAAACTTATCACTGTAGGTGTTCAAATATTATGGAGTGGTGAATGGCTTAAATGGTCCCCTAAATAACCAAAAGCAAGGATAGATGTACTGCGTCATGAAAGACGATCTTGGAGGGGTTTTACGCAAAATTTTTCTGCTACAACAGCAAAATTAGGCAAATCAAAAGCATGGCTTCAGACAAGTAAAACAGTTTTATTGAGATGATAAAACAGTAACTGATGGCATAAATCAGTTTAATTTTCAGTCTGAATTACGGACTTTTCCCGTGTAAAATACATTAATAACAAACGCGGTCTATCGAACTAGCTATTTGACGGTAATGTATTAATTTCTTAAAGTGTGTGAAACACAAAATGTTGGCTATCAATTCACCTTTAGAAAAATTAGTCTTCAATATTGGCTATTAAACCGCACTTCGGAGAGATGGCAGTATCTTAGTGCGAACAGCACATTGTAATATTTTTCTTTATATAACATGATAGGCTTCCTTTATTCATTAGTTGGGCTTTGTGCCCATTAACGTAGCTATAACACTAATAGCATTAACGATCATTCCAGCTCATTCCAGCCTTTGAGTCGTAGTACTGCAATTTCTACACGCAATTCTTTCACGGATCTACACGGCAGTTATACTGGTCATCATGCTGTCTTCATCTAATAACACTGTTAGGCTGGTGATGAATATAGCCGTGTACTGGAGATCATGTTTGTAGGTGTCATGATGCATGGCGCAACCACGCTGGATATTCATCCCTCAGTCAAATGCATCGACGCACAATGATGCGGTTTCATCGCCGAATGGATTTAGGAGGCGCTTGGATTCGGACATGCACCATCTAGTGTATACAACTTTCTACTTCGACTTCGTGCATCACATGGTATTTAACACAGAAATAAGTAAACTAATTTTTGTCTAACCGCATACTTGTTCCTATTACGGTCAGGGATGCAGCCAACGTGCCTTTTATTAGATACTGGCCTGTATCAATTTCTTTAAACTAACGAAATCTCCTTTCACTTTCACCTATGACGTATGGCCTGCAGCAACTTCTTAATGCAAGCAACAGCGTATTATGGAATAATATTATGTGTCAGCTTCTCCTCTTTAAAACGTTACACTTTTCTATAATATGCAACTGTCTTATAGTATGGTCAACAAACTGTTCTTAAAACTCCTCTAGACCCCTGTATTCGGTTAATACTTCATCTCCCTGATTAATGATTTCGGTTATTAATTTAATAAACGATATTATTCGTTGCAATACAACCCGCTAAATCATCAAGTAAACAACATCAATCATTACTATACCATTAGCATTGTTTACTGAATGGCGTGCGACTGAAAAGTAGCGTTCGGGTCCGAACTCAGGAGGTGCCGGATTCACAGCAGGAAAAGGGTCAGCGTTTGTCTTCGAATTGCATTGAGAAAAGAATTTACCGCACTTTGCAACCAGCGAAAATGGGTAGCATAAGGACAGTGACTTGAAAACTTAGGGAGAACAAGGTGTTCATGACTGGTTATACCAGAATGTGTGTGGGGTACGGTCATGTTGTCTGATGCGAGCTATTCATAGGGCTGCAGTAGGCCTTGATCCGTTTGTTAGCTGCTTACCGAAGGTGATACTCAACAGAAGGTAAAACTTGTTCTTCTTCTGGCTCAAAACATTCGAACCGCTGCGGACAGTAAGTCTTCCAAAACTCAAACAAGTTCTCTCCTGGAAGAAGACACGTAGGACACCGACCGAAACATAGGTACTGGTCAATTATTCGATTGACCATGCCGTTTGGCAGTGTGTATAATTAAACCGTATTTTATGCTGTTTTCATTTTGTTGTTGTTATGGAGTGACGGAAATTACCATTATGAAACGTGTATCGTATTACACTTAATCTACATGTGATGGACTTGAGTCATCAACCAAGTAACACCTCGAGAATAGTCTGAAAAACAAGTTATCATAGCATATTTTAAAAAATGCATGCAAATGTTTTACAATATACAATAATCACTTGTTCTTCAGACTACTCTCGAGGTGGTACTTGGTTGATGACTCAAGTCCATCACAGTATGCGATACACATCTCATAATTCTAAATTCCGTCCCCCCATAACAACAAAATGAAAACAGCATAAAATTGTACAGTACAGTATCGTAAAACAGTACGATAGTGCAATGAAGAATAAGGCGAAGCAAAGAATTCAACCTATAAAACGACTAAATAAAGATTTTAGTTAAAAACTGAAACAAAGAACAATATAATAATAATGAAAAGACCCGGACAAAGAAAGAACTTACGTCAAACAGTACCACCGTCTGCAGACCAAGGCGCATTGCGCCAGA